TCGCGCGCGCACGCGACGCAACGATGTATGATCGATTTGACGATAGTTCGAGCGCGAAGCACCCAATATTCGCGACGAAGCGTGCTCAAGGTGAGCTGCAACCCCGCGTGCAAGGCGCGCAGGTGAGTGTGTCTTATGATCAACGTAACGAGCGGATGCGCAGCGAGCAAGATCGGGTGACGCGAAGTTAAAACGTTGGCCGCGTTTTGAAGTCGTCCGCCAACCCGCAGCAGCCCTTCATTGTCGATAAACGGCCCCAGCGAGAGGAGCGAGCTTCTTGAGGGGAGCCCTCGCCCTTGACTGAGCTCTCGGAGCTCGCTAGCAAATAGTTCGCGTTGAATCTGCTTGAGCCAGAATGATCGGGCATCGTCGAATTCACGCGCGGAGAGCGTTATGCCGGGTACTCGACCGGAATCGGTTGCAACGGCGGATCGTCGACAGCATGAAACAAATTTGAGAACGTACGCGGTTACGCGAATGAGCTTAGGCCATGAAGAAAATCTCTCCGCGAGATCCCACGAATTGGTAGTCCGATTTGTTAGCAGCGAGTGCTTTTTTGTCTCAAGAGGAGCGTCGGCAGGCAACTCCTCTGAGTCGGTCGGCCAGAGGTCCGACGAAAGCATGAGCCACGACGGCCCTTGCCACCACAAGGGATGAGACACAAGTTCGCCTCCGAGGAGACCGCGCGACGCGCAATCCGCCGGATTGTCGGCGGTCGCAATATGCCGCCACTCGACGCCCGGCAGCCGGCCCTGCACCTCCGCGACTCTATTCGCGACGAACGTCTTCCACTTTGACGGATGCTGTCGGAGCCACGCAAGAACTATAGTCGAATTGGACCAGCACACGCACGGGGCACCAGTGAGATTCAATTCAGAGCGCACGAACTCGAGGAGACGAGCGAGAAGCGTTGCTCCTAGCAGCTCTAGGCGAGGAACACTCTGAGTCTTGAGCGGCGCGACGCGAGATTTCCCTTGCAACAGAGTGATTACAATTTTTTCGGACGCGGTAGTGACTCTCGCGTACACAACAGCGGCGTAAGCAACATTAGATGCATCGGCGAAGCCGTGCAATTCGATTCTCGCGGTCGACGTGAGTCCGGACCATCGCGGAATGTAAAGTTCGTTTAAACGCGGGATACCGGCGTAAATGAGTTGCCATCTTTGAAGAATGGTATTGGGGACGCGTTCGTCCCACGAGACCTTGAGTCGCCACAGCTGTTGAATAATTACCTTCGCGGCGAGAACGACGGGCGTTACCCATCCCAGTGGATCGTATAGGCGCGCGATGGCAGACAGAATTGACCGTTTCGTCGTGGGCATCTCGTCCTGAATCGAAACTTTAATGTGAAAGGCGTCGGATTTTGGGTTCCATCCTATGCCGAGAATATTAACATGGTCGGAATCGGACAGAGACTTGCTGCACGCGATACCGTGGTCATTGGCGTCAATGTCAGTCAAAAGATCTGCGGAGTTACTCGCCCATTTCCGAAGCTCAAAACCGCCAAGTCGGAGGAGATTGATGAGTTGGTCGCGAGCGTCTCGAAGCTCGCGAGCGTTCTCGTGACCGAATAACACGTCGTCGACGTAGATGTGGTTGAGTAGCACGGCAGCGGCAACCGGAAAACGCGAACCGTCGTCACGCGCCAATTGACGTAAGACTCGGAGAGCGAGGAAAGGAGCGCAAGCTGTGCCGTACGTCACAGTGAGGAGTTGATACTCCTCGACTGCATCGTCCAACGAATCCCTCCACAAGATTCGCTGGTAATTAAGATCGCGCGGGTCGACTAAGATCTGTCTATACATCTTCGCAATGTCGGCGGTGTAGACAAACTTAAACTGTCGCCAGCGAAGAATGACCGAGGGCAAGTCGGCTTGCAATTTCGGACCAGACAGGAGGTGATCATTTAGACAGGATCCGTTCGACGTGACGCTAGACGCGTTAAAGACGACCCGCAACCGCGATGTTGTGCTGGTTTCGCGGAAGACCGGGTGATGAGGAAGGAAGACGCACGGCGCTAACGTGTTCGAGGCGCGTGAAACCACGCGCGAATGCCCGAGAGATTCGTACTCCTTCAAGAAAGCGCGGTACTCGCGAAACTTATCAGGCTGCTGGTGCAGCCGCCTCACGAGCGTGTTGAGCTGCTTTTCCGCGCGAAAGCGAGAGTCTCCGATTGCGATTGGAGGACCGGCTCGAAAAGGAAGACGCACGACGTACCGTCCCGTCGCGGTGCGTGAATGCGTTTCGAGAAAATGTTTCTCGCAAGCTACGTCGTCAGGTGCCGTATGCGGGCGGTCGGGAAGCTCCTCGACCTCCCAAAATCGTTTGATCTCCTCCTCCAAGGAGGACTCAGTGACACAGTGATGAACCGCGATGTGATGAGCATGACTCGAGTTAATTTCGCACGGGCGCGAGTGAGTTTGAGCGGCGAGAATGGACGACGTCGGACCTGATATGACCCATCCAAATATCGAATTTTGCGCGATCGGCTGGCCAGGGAGACCTTTTCGAAGGCCCTCTAGCATTACCTCACCATAGAGTTCCGCGCCAATAATGAGGTGAATCGGTTCCAAACTGGTAGGATCCGGATCCGCCCAGACGACGCCCTCGAGATGCCGAAGCGATGCGACACCCTTTGCTCGTTTCGGCGAATATGATGTGAGCGTGTTAAGAATTAACGCGTTCGTCGTGATAGACGGATTATCGGACGAAAGAGACGAAAGAGAGATCCGCGCGGCGAAGCGATATGTGCCGGCATGAACGCCGCCGACGGCGGACACCGACGTAGGCAGGCGGTGTCGTTTCGCACGCAAGAGTTGAGCGAGATGCTCCGAGATGAACGTCATCTCGGAGCCCTGATCGAGGAGAGCGCGAATTTCGAGGGAGCGCCCATTGGACGTCCCTACTCGGACGCGCGCGGTCGCGAGGAGAACCGGCGTATGTTGCGCTTTCGAAGATGACGCGATCATCGAAGTAACTTCAACGCTCGAGTTCCCGTTCGAGCTCGGTTGCACGATAACCGAGTTGTTCGCTTCCTGAGCCTCAGGTCGCTGGCTCGTGTGAAGCAACGTGTGATGGCGAGCTTG